AAAAAATCATTTTAAAAACTCAGCTATTTCTTTTTAAGAGGAAAAGAGGTAACTGCACAAAGCAAGCAATATAGAACTTGCGACCGGGCTCGGTGGCCCAGCCTGTAATCCCGCGCCTTTGGGAGGCTGAGGTGAGTGGATTGCCTGACCCCGCGGGTTTGAGACCTGCCTGGGCGGCGAGACCTCATCTCTACAATAAATTAAAAAATCAGCTGGGCGTGGTAGCGCATGCCTGTAATTCTGGCTACTTGGAAGGCTGAGGCGGAAGGATCGCCGGAGCCCAGCAGGTCGAGACTGCGGTGGCCGGGAGCGGCCACTGCACTCCAGTCTGGGCGATGGAGTAAGACCCCAACTCAAAAAAAAAAAAAAAAAAAATAGAACTTGCAGAATACTGGAAAGACCAGGAAGGGTTAGAAACTTAGTTACACTCCTGATATGGATTGAGGGAGACCAAGTAAGTCCAAGCAGCATTCAGCGTCAGAGGCACCAGAAGCAGGTCACATGCCCAGAGGAGTCTGAACCTGTCCAAGAATGCACAAAGGGCCTTCCATACTCAGCCCCTCCCTGCCTCCCTGATAGTATATGTCATCACGTCTTTCACAAAGCCCTCCAGCTGCAATGACAGCAAAGACACAACGCTCCACACCTACCATGCTCTTGCCAAGCCTCTGCCACACCTCTCCACCCTGCCCCTCTTTTGCCTTCCCACATAGGCTCCTTCAAGAATCAGCCCAGGGACCATCTTCTGCAGGACACCTTCAAGGTCAGCTCTCCTCTCCCCTAGCCTGAGCTGTCTGAGCCTGAGCCCTCTAGTCCACCATGGCACCGGATCACTCCCTGTTGAAGTCATCTGTTTCAGGGAACTAGCCTGCAAGCTCCTTGAGAAAAAGAAAGCCGTAAGGTTTATTTTTGTAGACCCAGAAACTTGTGTAGCATAAGGCATACCAGAAGCCCCACAAATGTTTGTAGAACTGATAAGCAGAAAAGCTAAGGAAAACCAGAATTCTTCCATTTCCTAAGGACACACTGACGAGGCAATGTGCCCTAAAGACACAAAGCCCAAGAAAATGTTTGAGTCCTCTGAAAAAACCCTCTTGCCTTCAGAATATTAAAGTTTTTTTAAAAAAATAGAAATTTAATTAAGCATCTATAAAACCTAACATTTCAAGAGCAACTCAATTCTATTCATAATGTTATATAAGTTAAAGTTAATGTGGGATATGGGCATATTTTAGTACATTTTATAGGACCTATAAAAGTAAGAATGCCTAGGGCTTAGGAAGATCTTTGAACCTCCCTGCCTAAAAAACCTGTTCTGGCTAGTACCTTACCCAGCTGGTTTAGGACAATGAAGAAAAATCCATTTCCAAAGCAAAACAAAATTCTTACAAACAAACAAACAATGCTAATACAAAACAAACAATGCTAATACAAAATTCATGTAGCAACTGCCTTTCATGAACCTCCCAGATTCTAGCCAGTGACCTCCAAATCAGAGCATCCCAGCACTCTCCCCCAGGACCAGAATTCCCTGGTTCTTACAAATTGCTGGACTGCCGTTTTGGCCCAGGCTCCAGCACTGTGGAAAGGAAGCATGGTTGGGGAGTTTTCAGTCACTCCCGCTGAGATGGGCCTGCAACCTCCAACCCTCAAGCCTGTGGCAGAAGTTGAGCAATCAGGGAAAGCCAGGACGAGCTGCACGCAAGGCTCCCTAACCTGCCAACGGTTCCCCTCCCCAAGCTGGCCGGGCTCCCCTTGGCAAAGTCCCCAGCTGAAAAGCTGTAAAGCGGCGGGGGTGGGCTCCTGAGGGGAGAAGCTAGGCACAGCACAGGAAAGCTCAGAGCTCAGCACGATGATAAGCACAAAACATGCAGACTTACAAAATACTTAACTGTTGCCTTGACACTGATCTCTATCAGCTCAAAACATGTAAGTAGAGCTGATTCCAGTGATTCGTGGTAGTTATGGTTTATGGAGTTGGATGCGAACACTGGATTAGCAAATCCTGAACCATTGCTCCTAAGGGAAATGCATGGTTAGGATCTTGTGAGCCTCTATCACAACATTTCTGTCAAACCATCAATACATTAACTTGCTTTATACGTGTTTCTGTTTAAAGACACCTTATTTAACATCTACTGCTGATTTACTAACATTGAACTCACAGCCAACAGGACTATAACGCATGCCTGAACAAAGCTTATCTAACACATGTGTTTTCTCGGTAAGGCACAGCACAGTCTTCTAGGGCTTAGGAACTCTAGACAGCACTCCAACATCTGCTTGGGGTATTTTAAATAGTAGAATCACCAACAAAAAATAAAAATGAGAAAAAACGTGGCACTAAATAAGCCACAAACTAGACACTTGTTTACAATATAAAAGCCGAAACAAGAAGACAGAGCATTGTCCTGTTTGACCTCAGCTAGAAATATGGGTGACTCAATTTTTTCACTGTTCTGTGCATGTCCAAGAACGACCAAAAAAGTGCCACAAGTATTGCTTTCGGGGTTACAAAGAAATCTTAGTGAGTAGATGAATTTGCAAATGCAGAATCTGAAAATAATTAAGATCGACTGGATTACCAAAAAAACAGTACATCTGCCTTCTGGTATTTGAAGAAAGCATGCTCTTGACCTTTTTGTAAGAGAATAGAATCCAAAATGAGCTAACTATTAGAAGCTTTAAGGGTAGGAAAAGCACTCAAGAACTAAGGCGGTTAACTGGAGGAGACTCTATAAGACCGTGCACTGGCTGACCTTTCACTCAACAGGCAGGTTCCTGAGAAGTGATGCATATGACTGGAATATTAACAGGCTCCTGGAGTAAATGATTTTGAAAAATGGAAATACTTTATCAAGTTATATCTTCTCCCTAAATTTAAGCATGGTAAAATAAAAGTTGTCATATGGCAAATTTGCTTTAAAGTTTGACTTACCGATATGAAAAAGGTACAACTTTCATAAAAGTAAGGCTCCATCCACTGTTAAATTAAATTTGGCCTAAAGTTGCCTCTGTATGTAGCAAAGTGTATTAATATGGAAACAGACTGCAACCTAACCAAGAGTATATTCTGGTAACAAGTAACTCAGTCTCAGTCAATTGCAGCAGCCAAACTTTAGCCAATCACAGGCTGCAAACAGCCAAAATATTGAAATAAGGCAATAGCCAATCGGGATATTTTGGTATGTCACTTCTTTTTGCTGTCTATAAATACTGCCTGCCCTCAGTTGCCCTCAGTTGCCCTCTTAACCTTTCTTAGTTCAGCGTGCTACCCAATTTATGAATTGCTTCTTTACTCAAACTCTGCTAAATTTATCAACAGTTCTTGAAACACCACGCAATTATATGTGTGTGCGTGTGTTTATATGTGTTTTATATATGTGTGTGTGTATATATTATATATATATATTACCCTACTTAATTTTCCTCTAGATTTAGGAACCAATATTATAAAAGACAGAGTTCATCAGCCTCCTTTTAAAACAAATAAATCAATTTTAAAAAGATATTATTCTTTTAAGTGAGAAAACTAAGCCAGCACAGATGACCAGATGTAAAAGTAGAAGGAGAATTCTAAGAAGAAAATCACTAAATACGCAAATGAAACTGAAACTGCTCCTTAATAATTTTGGAGTAAAGAATCCTTAAATACTGCATATCATTCAAATGTCATTTTACCACACACACACACAAAATTGTTGTTTAAGGTCAGGGTGGTAGTAGGGAGACCTACATTATTTTTGTTATCCTTCAAAAGACTGAGCACCCAGCATACTGTTAGTAGGTGAATAATAAATATTCACATTTTATAGAAAATTCAACCTTAAAATAATAATTTTATAAAACTTTCAGTTTAAAGCTTATAAAATGAAAAATTAAAAGCAATTTTAATTAACTAAAAACATAAAAGATTTAAGTTGGGAGTTTATAAAATGAAGATTCACGTAACAACTTTACAAATTGACCTTATATAAACTTGTAGTGTAAAGTTAATAGAATGAAAAATTAATATTAATTCACACGGAAGACCATGACTAAAAGTAAGATGCTAATTCCACTTTAATCTATTCTGGCCTACTTCAAAAGCATACTTTTTAAAACTCCTAGCTGGAGAACAAAACTCTGATTCTAAAACTAGGTCTCGGTAACCAAGAAGTCTCAAAAACTGACGATGAGAGACGAGGAAAGCGGGGAACGCAAGGAGGACTGGGAGGGGCTGGTCACAGGTACAGTTACAACCGGGTATGCGGAATCAGTTCCGGCGTTCTCCGGCTCACGGAGTATGACAATAACCGCCACAAGAGTCCTCTAAAGGGGACTCCGAGCCGGGGCGTCTCGGCGCCGGCGCGGCTCGGAGACGGCAGCCGCCCGTGCCAGACCTCAGCGCCCAGCCCCGGCGTCCACCCCGGGCGGCGGCCGAGCTCGCGCTGCAGCCCGCACCCTCCCTCCCGCTCCTTAGGGCGAAGCGAGCGAGTGAGTTCCAAGTCTCGCCCTCGGCCTCCAAGCAGGAAAGGGCCGGCACCGAGAAGCGAGGCCGGCCAGGCCGCGCAAGCGGCCTCCGAAGGCGCCCGGCGAAGCGCCAACCCCTAAGGGACCTCGGGCCGACCCAAGGGAGCCAAAGCCAGGGCGCTGCCAAGATCCGGAGGCCCGCCGCAGCTCCAGGAAGAAACCTAAGGGGCAGACCCAAGAAACTGGAGGCCGAGGAAGGGGAGGGCATCTCGCAGGAGTCCTCGGCGGACCCCGTGCGTGCTGCACGCCTGCTCCCTCCCCGGGGAGCAGCATCCTTCGAGGACGGGGCAGCTTTGCTCGGCTCCCACCACTCCTCGGCCCCTTCCCCCAGGCCCACCATTACCACCGCCTCGGCGCCAGCCCCAACCCCACCTCCCACCTGCGCCCTCACCACACGTGCACAGCATACCAGCCCCTGTGGGCCCAGAGGGGGGCACTTTTCCTCTGGCCTCAGTGCCCAGCCACACCCCCCACTCGTGCGTATGCACCTGCTCTCCTGCACAAGGCTAACTTCCCACGTAGCCACACCCGCTCGCAAGCTGGGGACTCTGCTTTCTGGTGGCTCCCTCTCTGTTCCTCCACTGTTCCCTCGGGCTTCCCATAGAGGCGCCGGGGAGGGCTCCCCGGCCTTAAAAGGGGCCCATGCCCCCATCTCGTTCTGGCATGCCCCACTCCACTGTCCTGGCGGCAGCAGGTGTGGCCAACGGAGGGGGGCTGCTCGACCCCCAGGATGCCCCCAGCCAGCCTGTCTCCATCACCATGTGGGACTCACACCCATTTTCCTTCCCCACCTTCCCTCGCCCCTTTACTACGAAGGCAGGAGGGGTTCGAGCCCCTGCCCCTTTGCCCTCAGCCTGGGATCTGAGCATACATTGCAGATGGAGATGCATTGTAACCTATAGTCCGGGTGAGGCCCAGGTTCTCTGTGGCGGCCACAGAGATGGACTGGGGTAACTCACCCCACCCCACCTGCTTCCAGCACCCAGCCGTTCCCCATCAGAAGGGACACTAAGACCCAGGAGCAAGCCCTGCCCGATCCAACCCTCCTGCTCCTCCCCACCTCCCAGGCTTCTGGTTCCATCTTTCCTCTGTTCACAAACTACCTCTGGACAGTTGCGTTGCGTTTCGTTCGATGTTCCATTCTTTGACATCTGTCATTGCTGCTGCTGCCAGCGCCAAATGTTCATCCTCATCGCCTCCTGTTCTGCCCGTTCCCCTCCCCCAAGATACTCTTCTGGGGAAGGGGGGCTGGGGCGTGGCAGGCTGGGTTACCCCTGTCCCAGGGATGGTGGGGCTCTGCCCCTAGGATGCTGCAGCAGAGTGAGGAGGGGGGCCCGAGTCGACCATAAGGGGTGTAGGGGCCACCTTCTCCCCATGTTCTGTTGGGGAGGGGGTAGCCAGTATTTGTCCCAGCCTGGGGTTTCCCCTCTGGTTTCCTATTTGCAGTTACTTGAATTTTTTTTTTAAATCCTTTTCTGGCACAAAAAAAAAAAAAAAAAAAAAAAAGCTAGAAGCTTTTGAATATCCTTACCAGAAATAATAAATGCATGATAAAAATGCATTAAAAAATTCATCGCCGGGCTCGGTGGCTCAGCCTGTAATCCCGCGCCTTTGGGAGGCTGAGGTGAGTGGATTGCCTGAGCCCGCGGGTTCGAGACCCGCTTGGACAGTGAGACCTCATCTCTACAATAAATCAAAAAATCAGCTGGGCGTGGTAGCGCATGCCTGTAGTTCCGGCTACTCGGAAGGCTGAGGGGGAAAGATCACCGGAGCCCAGCAGGTCGAGGCTGTGGTGGCCGGGAGCGGCCACTGCACTCCGGTCTGGGCAACAGAGTAAGACTCCAACTCAAAAAAAAAAAAAAAAAATTCATCAAAGAAATGATAAATTATGAACATGCTAAATACACTGATTTGATCATTACACAACATATATGCATTAAAACATCAAATTGTACCACAAAATATACATGTGCCAAAGATTTGTTTTCAATTTTTTCAAAAATATAATTTTAAAAATATAAAACTAAGCATATAAACTAACTAAAGCATATAACTAAACTAGGACCATGTGAGGATTAAACATTTAAACATTTAAAAACTTCTTTTTTTGGTTTAGCTGCATAATACAAAGCACAATTATTCTAGAAAAATCAGTTAACTTCTTTCACCAGCATGAAGCTTTTGAGAAAGATCTTTTCAGCATATTAATTTATGAGTGATTTTAAAGTCTTTGACCTCAACCATTTTTTAGATAGGTTAAAAAAATAAATTCAGCCAGGACTTAAACTTAACCAGTTGGGAAGAATATTTTTCAATTTCTTTCTTAAACAGGTATACTGAATATAAATTCTATTTTTCTTGATTCACAATCCTCACTTCTGAGCAGAGGCACTGGCTGCTTTTGTTCTGAACTGTCCGAACAAGGATGTGTGTACAGCAAACAGCCTGGAAAGACAGAGATAGTATCTCCCACCACACTGTCCAGTAAAATAAAGATAATATCTTCCTCCAAGGTAAAGTTGGCAGGTTTGTTTACAGGCCTTTATAAAGACTTTGAATTACCTGAGGTTAGGGTTCTGCAGCCATGACACAAATCCACAACCACCTGAGCCACTCTGCCCCATGGGACTTGTGGGGCAAGAACAGACACAAACACAGAGCTTATGCTGTTGGCTAGGTTGTAGCACAGTCCTTTGTCTCTGCCTCAGGACTCATGCATCTTCTGCCAGCATCAAGATCTGGATTACCTTCAGGGTTCTACAACTGTGACCCAAATCCACTGCATGTGTAGTAGCCATCAAGGCCACCCCACATTATTTCTGTGGGACTTACCGGGCAAGGGAAAGGGGCACAAACATGAAGCTTGTAAGCTTGTTGAAGCAAATAAGGAGGAAACTAACGCCTGAGGTGGTCTCTCATAACCAGAATGCTTATATAAACAAAATGTAACTTAGCAATATTTCTTGTAACTGATTCCCCCCTAAAAGAAAAACCCACATGTGCCTGAGTCAATCATAAATAGCCAACCAATCAATTGGTTATACAAATATGATCTCCCACGAATCATATGCAAATAAAACAAATGTCTTATCACACCATCCCCAAATAAGACAGACACCTAGCTGGAGCCAGTCAGGGGATTTCTCTACTTTGTACCTGTGTTCGGCCTACAAAAGCTGCTGCTCATGCTGCTAAAGTAGAGTTCTCTGAACATGTACTGAGTGCATCCCAATTCATGAATTGTTAATCATTCAAATAAACTGTTAAATTTGTCTCTAGTTTTTAACAAGTGGATGGATTCTTTTGGCTGTGCCACAGGTAATATATTCATCTGTCGCTGACCCAGGAGTCTTGTGTCTTCTGCCAGTATCCAGTCAACTGCCAGGCAGAACCATCAGCTCGCTGATAAAAAGTAGGATAAGCCGGGCTCAGTGGCTCAGCCTGTAATCCCACGCCTTTGGGAGGCTGAGGTGAGTGG